GACTTGTATTATATGATGAGACATTTGTTCTTTCAATCAACCAATATATATTTAAGAGCTTCTGTTGGTGTCAGGAAGCTGAAATAATTAAAAAGAGGAGGAACTAAGATGGCTGGTTTACAGGAAGTACACCAGCAGATGGCTCCAAATCACCCAGCATCAGCAGCACAGGGACCTTTCTGTGATAAAAGTGGTGTAGCTGTGCCACAGTGTAAACATGCTGCTAGAAATAGGAACACGAACACTTTAATTTTCTGCCATTCAGATAAGTACGAGAACTTCTCAGAGCTTGTGGTGTTGGTTATATTTAAGCTGCTGGCTGTGAGTTAGCATGGATGGTGTCAAAACTTAAATTAGAAACCTTTAAAAATGTGTGCAAAAGTTTCACTTAGGTTTGAAGAAAAAGGTTGTCAACAGAGAAAGCTTAAAAAATGCAACAGTTTATTTGCATTATTTAACTAAACAAAGAGCAAGAACACAGAATATATTTGATATTTGATGTTTTTTTATTCAAAATAGCCCCTATTCTTTCAGGAAAAACTTAAACTCATTTACTACATTAAAATATCGTGGAGGATGAACTAAAAATCTTCTTTCTGCATTTATTTCTAAGCAGTCTGAAGCCCTTTCAATCAAAGCAAATCTTTATTTGCATAAATATAACTTGCAAGACATGAATATTAGGTTTTAACATACATTTAACCAGAGGAGTAGTTTTATTACAGTCCTTTTGTTTTCGATTTATTCTGTATATGACTTATTGTGTAGTTAATTGTTTTATGCATTATGAAAAAAAAAAAAAAAGTAAAAACTAACTAACCCTAACCCTATGTTTCTCATTTATCAGTTTTTTATTTCTGTCTTTGCTACATTTGACTCCCCAGAGAGGACAGCAGGGTCGGTGCAAGGCCACCTACATGTCACCGATCCCCCTCCACCTCGTCCATCGGGGCTGCTACAGCCTGCAGGCCTACAGGTTCAGGTACTGCGGACAGTGCACCGACTCTCGCTGCTGCACGCCGCACCAAACCTCCACGGCTCTGGTGACCTTCCGCTGCCCTACAGGCAGACTGCTGCAGAGAGCTGTGATGATGATCCAGTCATGTGCGTGTCACAGCAACTGCCCCTACTCGCCCTACACCAACCCCGCTCTCTGGCCTCACAGGCCCTGATTCTGACGACCGATCGGACAGACGGAGAGCAAATGAAGGTAGACATGAAAGGACTAATTAGAGAAAAATGGGACTGACCTTGAAAATGTTGTTTTATTCACATTAATGAACTCTGCACTACCTTACAAACATCAGGTGGCTTTGACACCTTGTAAAATATTTGTTTTCTCTCTTTTATCTACTAGAGGATATGTTAGGGTGCGTTCACATCCAATGCCATTTTGGCACCCAGGGCTAATTATTCAGTGGGACTCGGGAGCATTGCCAGGTGAGGTGTGATCGTAGCAAAGCGGGTGGTATGTTTATCTACAGCTAACTGCAAAGATAAAAAAGGTAGCTTGGGTTTGCTTTCCAAAGTAAAATGCATGTCCACCATTTTTAAGTGAAAACAGACACCAGGCGAGTCGATGATGTGGTGGAGACTTTCCCCTTCCATGAGAATTGATGCCCAAGGCCAGGGAATTGCTGGCATACAGTAGCAGCCATTCAAAATGGCCCTTCCCGAATGGCGGCCAACTTCCAGCCACTGTAGTTACTTCCTCTTGCATATTTTTTTTACTCTGACTCCTCTCTTTCACTAAATTATAAGGTCTGACCAGGAGAAGGCATTTCTCTTTAGAGCTTAATGTCCACGAATCATGACAGAGTATTTCAGTTCAAAGATTGATGTTTAAAGGAATCGTATGGGACACGCCAAGGACCAGCAAAGGGACCATCAAGGAAAGTGAGGGAAGTTTTGAATGGCTACTACTGTAATGTTGAAAGGTATAGTGGAGGATTTTCGCGAATTTTTCAAAAGACCGGCCCTCTCCACTTAAAAGAAAAAAATGCACATGCACAACCCCGTACCCGCTCCCAAGAGGGAACGTCTATTAAATGCGTGCGAGATCGTGCACCAGCCAATTTCTCCTCGTGCACGCTCTGTTTAAGAGTTGCTGTTCTCATTGCTCATGCAGGCTTAGTGTGTCTGAATGTCCGCCCTAACCCCTAAATCCCTCAATCACTATATAGAGCGGGGACTATATAGGGGAATTTATAGCGAACTCAGTTAATTCAATTCAATTCAGTTTATTTCTATAGCCCCAAGTCACAACACATGTCATCTCAAAGCACTTATAGTTCACCAAATCATCCAGTCAGATTGATTCAAAGTTTTCTCTTTAAGGAAAACCAGCTTATTGCATCGACTCATTGACTCTTCAGCAATCCCTCACACTAAGCATGCTTGTAGCAACAGTAAAGAGGAAAAACTCCCTTTTAACAGGAAGAAATCTCCAGCAGAACCAGGCTCAGTGTGAGCGGCCATCTGCTGAGGTCGACTGGGGTTCAAGGAGACAGAAGCAGAGATACATACATAAACAGAAATACAAAAGGAAGTGGTCAACCAGCTCCACAGGCCCACATCCAGGAAACCCACAGCCAGGCAGACGAGCTCCGAGCCAGTTCCCATGTCAGAGGATGAAGAGAACATATCCAGTTAGTCACAGTCAGAGAAACAGGACTACACTGGAAAAACAGTCCGAGCTCAAACATGTATAAACAAAGGTATTGATTGCAGTAAACTGACCATTTGGACAGATGATCACTATTTTTTGCTCTGTTGGTCACCTAACTCCTCCTCCACTCCACAACGCTGGTGCTATCTTTGCTATTAGTCGCCGCTGTCGCTACCCTACAGCGGGCCGCTGTTACAGCAAATCCCATAATGCTTTGTGAGGAGAGCTCTCTGTGCAAAGCATTCTGGGATATATTTGCCTCTTCTGAGGCCTTNCCCTTCCATGAGAATTGATGCCCAAGGCCAGGGAATTGCTGGCATACAGTAGCAGCCATTCAAAATGGCCCTTCCCGAATGGCGGCCAACTTCCAGCCACTGTAGTTACTTCCTCTTGCATATTTTTTTTACTCTGACTCCTCTCTTTCACTAAATTATAAGGTCTGACCAGGAGAAGGCATTTCTCTTTAGAGCTTAATGTCCACGAATCATGACAGAGTATTTCAGTTCAAAGATTGATGTTTAAAGGAATCGTATGGGACACGCCAAGGACCAGCAAAGGGACCATCAAGGAAAGTGAGGGAAGTTTTGAATGGCTACTACTGTAATGTTGAAAGGTATAGTGGAGGATTTTCGCGAATTTTTCAAAAGACCGGCCCTCTCCACTTAAAAGAAAAAAATGCACATGCACAACCCCGTACCCGCTCCCAAGAGGGAACGTCTATTAAATGCGTGCGAGATCGTGCACCAGCCAATTTCTCCTCGTGCACGCTCTGTTTAAGAGTTGCTGTTCTCATTGCTCATGCAGGCTTAGTGTGTCTGAATGTCCGCCCTAACCCCTAAATCCCTCAATCACTATATAGAGCGGGGACTATATAGGGGAATTTATAGCGAACTCAGTTAATTCAATTCAATTCAGTTTATTTCTATAGCCCCAAGTCACAACACATGTCATCTCAAAGCACTTATAGTTCACCAAATCATCCAGTCAGATTGATTCAAAGTTTTCTCTTTAAGGAAAACCAGCTTATTGCATCGACTCATTGACTCTTCAGCAATCCCTCACACTAAGCATGCTTGTAGCAACAGTAAAGAGGAAAAACTCCCTTTTAACAGGAAGAAATCTCCAGCAGAACCAGGCTCAGTGTGAGCGGCCATCTGCTGAGGTCGACTGGGGTTCAAGGAGACAGAAGCAGAGATACATACATAAACAGAAATACAAAAGGAAGTGGTCAACCAGCTCCACAGGCCCACATCCAGGAAACCCACAGCCAGGCAGACGAGCTCCGAGCCAGTTCCCATGTCAGAGGATGAAGAGAACATATCCAGTTAGTCACAGTCAGAGAAACAGGACTACACTGGAAAAACAGTCCGAGCTCAAACATGTATAAACAAAGGTATTGATTGCAGTAAACTGACCATTTGGACAGATGATCACTATTTTTTGCTCTGTTGGTCACCTAACTCCTCCTCCACTCCACAACGCTGGTGCTATCTTTGCTATTAGTCGCCGCTGTCGCTACCCTACAGCGGGCCGCTGTTACAGCAAATCCCATAATGCTTTGTGAGGAGAGCTCTCTGTGCAAAGCATTCTGGGATATATTTGCCTCTTCTGAGGCCTTTCTTTTCTTCTCATACACTTCGTAGACTTCGTAGACACTTTTTCTCTTATGACCGTCGGCCATTTTCAAACAATGGCGGTGAGAAAGGTGACCTTCAATGACCGTCTGAAACCGTAGCTCACCACAGACATACGCCTGAAAGTGCAAAAGATAGCTAACGGCGCGAGCACAAAGGATGGCCTTTTAAAAATTAGGAGGACCACTTATTTATTTTATCCAACCGGAAAAAGAATATCCTCCACTATACCTCTCAGTGAATGAAAGAACTGAAAAGAGGCAGCTTTAAAGGGATGTTTTGGGAGATTTATCAAACTATTTTCATCATAGAGGCGATTATTGTGTCTACAGCAACTGCAATTAAAGTTAGTTGAAAGAACACAATTTTTTACTGCAGCGGTTCTGGGCGTGAGGGGAGCGCCCCCTAGGTGGGGCACTTTGTAATTGCATTTGAGAGTGTTCTGGCACCTCTTACATTATTATATATCTCCTCTCTGTGGACTTTTAGCATATTTCAAATATAAACTGGACATAACCCAGATTTTTCTTCTTCTTATTGGCACTCGGAAGCCGGTCTGACAAGGGAAAGGAGTCTTCAACCAAAAAAGGAAAACTTATTTCAGCTTATCTTTCATCCATATTCATTATCCTTCATATCATCAATGCAAAGCAAACAATGAAGCTGTCTGTTAAACAACCCAAAGGCTCCACCTGGGGGCAGTGGTGGATGACGTACTCAACAGTAGTACTTGAGTGAAATTATTGATATTCATAGTCAAATCTTACTCAACTAATTCAAATAATTAAGTATTTTATAAGTGCTAATTAAAATTTGTATTTCGGTACATTTCTGTCTAATTTTCGGAGTCATTTTAAAGAACCTTTCCAAAAAAGTAATGAAAAAACAATCCACTGGACTTTTTTCTAAGTTTGAAGACGTTTCCCATCCAGGAAGCTTTTGCAATTAAAAATTTCAGAAACAGCGTTGAGCTCGAGGCTTTATGGAGTGGACAAAAAACAAAAGCCTTGTTTTGTTTAGAAAACATGCAAATTCAACCAGAAGAAAGAGTCCGCCCCGTGGAATGGAGGTCGTTTGAGTTCTTTGTTAGCCTACAATACCCAATACCTATCTATGTCTCTAAAAGGGGGGTCAAAGATAGCCTGACGTAGTCCTACTCAATTCTAGTCAGAATATGAGTCTGATGCTGCTCCATAGAGCTG